TCGTCGTTCGCGCACAGCACGTCTGCCCCTGTCAGGGAAGGGTGGACTGAGACCCCAAGAGGGCAGGTGGGCCTGGGGTGCTGGGGTCTGCACTGTGCCCAGGCACTGCCCAGCATGGGCAGCTGGGGCTGCGGGGAGCAGAGGGAGGGCAGCGCCTTACCGGCTTTGAGGAGCAGTTTGGTGAGGGTGGGAGAGCCCAGGCCAGCAGCTAGGTGCAGGGGGGTGTTCCCAGCGAAGGTCCGGCTGTTGACATCTGCTCCCAGCTATGGAGAAACGTGTGAGGCCGTAAGGATAGGCTGCCTGGGTGTTGCCCCCCTCCCTGCCCATGGTCACCCCAAGACCACAGGGGACTCCCACCTCCCCAGAGCCCTGGGGGAGGCTGCACCCTATCCCACAGCCACCAACCCATCACCCCCCGTACCTTCTTCACCAGGTGGGTGGCCATGTTCAGGTTCTCCATTTCCACGGCCAGGTGCAGTGGGGTCCTCCCACCCTGCCTCTCCACCGCGTTCACATCCGCTCCCTTTCTGACTAGCAGGTCCAGGCAGGCCAAACTCTTTGCCTTCACGGCCAAGTGCACAGGCAGAAGGCCTGCAACAAGGTGAGAGGCTCAGCAGCCCACAACAGCACCCCTGGGTTCCTGCCCATCATCTCCCAGCCCCACTCACCATGGAAATTGGGCAGGCGGAGCAGGTAAGGGGCAGCTGAGCCCAGGTGGGCCAGCAGTGTCCTCAGCATCTCTTCGTCGCCCGCCTGGAGCGCCAGGTGCAGCAGGGAATTGCCATAGCGGTCCAGCAAGGTGGGGTCAGCACGGGCTTGGAGCAGGAGCTGGACCACTTGGGGCTGCTTGGTGATGACTGCCAGATGCAGTGGCGTCTGCAGGACAGCAGCACTCCCTCAGCAGCGCTCGCAGGAGGAGCAGAGTCCCGCATTGCTGTCCTCGCCAGTGTGGCTGCACTGTGCACAGCCCTACAGCCTCCCCACAGCAGGAGCAGCAATGGGAGCCCCTGGGGTCTGGAAACCAGAGCAAGTCCCAGGTAGAGAAGAACCGGCTGTCCCAGGAAATGCGTACCTGCTGCAGATTGTTGGAGATGTTGATGATCTGCTGGCTAGGGATGCTAACAATGACCTCGATCAGCTGCTTGATCACAGCTGTCTGCTCATGGATAATGGCGAGGTGCAAAGGCCTGCGAAGAGAGCAGGGATGGTCCCCGGCTCAGCTCTACCTCTCTCTGGGTCCTTCCTCTCACCTACCACCCCCCAGAGCCCCCCTAATGGCTCTGATGGCCAACAAGGATCCCTCGCTCTCCCCCGTGAACCCCTCGTGCACTCACGTGTCTCCATTCTCGTCCTGCGACGCAGCCAAGTGCCTCTGCACTGCCAGCAGCATGCGGGGGTCAGCGGTGACCGAGTAGTCGAGCAGGGCATGGGCATTGCGACGGGCTAGCGCCAGCATCCACAGATGGCAGAGCTGGGCTGGGGGTGAAGCAGGATGTCACCTCCAGGAGCAGCAGCCCCATCCACCCTCCTGCATCCCTCTGGGC